CTAAAAGCTCTAAATACCAACCTCCCATATGACCCTGCAATCCCACTACTGGGAATATACCCTGAAGAACTCAAATCACTCTCTAAAAAAGATGCCTGCACACGTATGTTTATCGCAGCATTGTTCACAATAGCAAGAACCTGGAAACAACCATGCTGCCCATCAAAAGAAGACTGGATTAAAAAAATGTGGTACATATACACGATGGAATACTATGCAGCCATAAAAAAGAACAAAATCATGAATTTCGCAGCAACCTGGATGGAACTAGAGTCTATAATACTGAATGATCTCTCACAGAAAAAAAGATCCGAGTATCACATGTTCTCACTCATATAATGGACCTTGAACATCCAATGTAATACTATAAGAAAATGACTGACAGCACTGGGAAACTATGGGGGGGGAGGGGGATGGGATTAACAGTAGCAAATATCTGTCTGGGGATGGGAAAACACCTCTTATCAACAGGGTGCCTGAATGAAACGTTATTGTACACCTAACCCTTAACTGTACCCCATAAAACCATAATAAAAAATATTGATTAATAAAAAAATATATATATAGCATAGCATACTTACAGAATTAGTAAAATATATTCTGGTATTCAAGAATTTTAATTATATCTTTCTAAATTTATCTAGCTATATTTAGAAACATATGACAGGCATACAGTAGGTACTAAAGATATATATATGTTTGTGTATATATAAGAAAATCTAATATTTCTTATACGTAATTACTTAACGGGGAGACTAGTATGGCATAGAATTATTAAGATAAAAATGGTTAAGGCTTGAGCCTGCTAGGTATATGTTCTAGGAACCCAATGGCATCAGCGTACTGGTTAGCATTGTTGTGAGAGGCTGTGTTTGGCTTTAGTGAAGTTTTTAAGGAGATTCTTTCAATGCCTTTGCCTATTTCTTGCTGGGTGATTTACGAGCACACCTGCCCACACTGCACTGAGTGTTCAGCAGATTTTGACCAAAAACGGCATTACCCCCATACCTCACCCTTCCTATTCACCTGATCTTACCCCTATCAACTTTTTGTTTGTTTCCCTGATGAAAAAAATCCTCAAAGGAAACATTTTGCTGATGTGAAAAGAGGAGAAACAAAAAAATGGCAGAAGCACTAAAAGGCTTCAAATCGACAAGTTCAAAACTGCTTTGAGCAGTGAAAAAAGCATCTTGATGGGTGTATTGCTTTCACCAGAGAGCGCTTTGAAGGTGACTGAAGTTTAAACATGTAAGAATAAATACACAGATTTCTAATGAATACTCTTCTGGGTTTTGGGGGGTTTCCCTTGTTAAAAAAAAAAAAAAAAGGATATATTAGACCAACAGAGATCTTCAGCAACTCTAGATCTTGCAAAATCCCAAACAGGAAGGATTTCCATAAATTTGAAGAAGAATAGGAAGCTGCAACCCAGCAATCTATGTCAGGCACACAAAGAGAGTTAAACTTCCCCAGGTTGTCTGTGGTCATTCTGCTTCCTGTAGCCATGAGACACCTGTCAACATCCTGTGTATTTCTGAATGGTTTGGTATTGGTATCTGTTAAATCTCCTGAAAAGAGTGTGACAATACCTGGAGCCGCCTAATTCCAATGAAAATTAATGAATGCTGAGACCTTACCACAAATGAGTATCACAGGACTGTATAAGTCATGAAAAAGTAAAAAATAGGGCATGCAGTTTCAAAAGAATAATGAATGAAGGCGCTCATGGAAAAATAGTGTTATGCAGTGGAAAGTTATCACTCACTTTAATGATCTTAAATAGAGCTTTTAAAATCTGATCTGATGTCTCATATTTTAAAATGCAATTTTCAGATGCTCCTTAAGTTAGAAAGTTTCAAAAATATAGCAGGATGATGTTACAACAGATAGGCAGAATGGGTGCCCTGCCTCACTAACAGCTCTATGCAGTGCTGCTATCAACTACCCTGTAGCTGTATTTACATGTGCAAAGCAGATGAATTGCCCCAACAGTTTTATCTCAGGTTACTTGATATAGGTGCCCAGTCTCTTCTCTGTCTTACTTGAGAAGTGATATGTAAAGAAAACCGCAATGAAAAATAGATGATGTCTTAATTTAACTGCATAAATATTATGGTACAATCTCAACTCTGTCAAACATTGGTCTAAGTAATGCACTTCTTTTTGGAGTTCATTTCAAAGGCACTAAATTTATAGAGTAAAAAATCCAGAGACAGTGTGAAAATAATTTATTGTAAATAATTGAGATGTTGGATAGCCTTTGCCTTGGTTACCTTTTTCTTCTCTTCATTAGGTGGCAGAAATTCAATGGGTTCATAACATCTCCATGATGTAGGTAGAAGAAAAACTGACGACTTAAGTCTAAAATAAGCAGATGCATCACACATAATGTCCCTCTGTTATATAGTATTAGGTCCTAGCGAAGTGCCTTACCTTAAATTTTCTGAGCTGAATTCTGATTCTAGAAATTTAAGGAACTGTTCTCTCCCCACTGGATCCTTCAAAGCCTCATCCATGCCAAAACCCCATCGTTTCACCCTCTGCTGGCTTGGTTCTTTGCTATAGGAGATAAAACAAAGCCAAATATATTCCTTTCATTAGAATTTCCATTTTCTGTTATTACATTTCCCTCTCAAAATCACATGTGCCTTGAAGTTCCCATCTTTGATTTATCTTTAGAAAGAAAGACACATCTCTGATTAATGCTCTACATGAAATTCTAGTGAGGTATAAGTTATACAGATATTAATAATAAAGTCTAACATTTTTTGAGCATTAGGTGCTATGTGCTCTAGATGAATTATTTCTTTCAGTGTTTTTCTAACAACTTTATGAGATAGGTAATAGTCTCCTTTTTTTTTTTTTTAACAGATGAAGAAATGGAGGCATAAAGAGAGTTATAACTCACCAATGTCAGACAAGTAAAGATTCAGACATATTGATCCCAGTGCCACATTTTTTAAACACTACACAATGCAGTCTCATGAAGGTATGTTGTACTGGGGAAAATGCATTGGTAAATAAAAGACCTCAGTACCAGTTTATGACTCTGGTGTCAATTAAATATGTGACTTAATTTGAGTTAGAACATTTTGGGGTTCCAGCTTTATCACCTATGAAATCTTTAAGTTGCAGATGGAGAGTTCTAGACATGTCATGTATCTAAGAGACAGTCCCTAAATGCAACCTAGAGAAGTGCTACAGTGTACTAATCTCATTGTAAAGTGAAGTGCAATGATCTTTTTATGACTGTCAAGATTGATGATATAATTATTTCCTCTATACTGCTCAAGAAAGAAACCAGGAAGCCCAAAATTGTGCTTTTGTTTTCTTAGGAAGTCACTCTCATGCCAGTTTCTCTCAGTGTTTATGGTAGGCACATTTGTTTTAAAATTGAATTTAAAAGGGTATACTTGTTTGGGGCTTAACTATTGATGGAGTTTGCACTCATTTTGTTTGAATATATGGGCCTTTGTAGCTATTTAGATTTTCAAGGGAAGGTAGTAGCAATGAATTACATTTTAAGAACTGAAGATCCTAATTCTGACTAATGCATCTTGAAACTCTTGCACCTCTAATTTTGGGTCAGTTCTTCTAGCAGTGCAAGTCTTAATGCAAATGCTAATGTCCAAAGCTCAAAACCATTATCTTGAAAAAGAATGTTGTATCATGGGCTATGCTGGCAAAGAATAAACTTACATTTATAGTTTACTTAAGAGTGAAATTACATTAATAATTAACCAACTATAGGATTCATCCTATTTCACTCAGACCCTAAAATAAAGTGACATAGTTGAAAGGAAGATAAAATGCCACCTACCTTGCTTCAAGTTCCCAGAAAGTAGTATCATCAGACAGCCATGGGTTAGAGGGGTCGGGTGGCACAAGAAATGGGTCGTATTCTAAATACTGTTCTGTATAACTTAGTAGACTAGAGAGAAGAAAACATTTTCACTTCCTTTAGTTTTCTGACAGAGGTTACACCCAGTCCACAGTAAGGGACACACAACAAACATGTCGGGTCAAGGAATCCTTGTCTGCTTACAGAATGAAATCTAATGGCAATTTTCATGTTTCAGTAACTTACATGAAACATCATCATGCTTCTTGGCAGACAACTGTGGTTATGGATTCCATCTCTCCCCATGCCTAAGCCATATAAGTCAATAATATCCCTTTGTCAAAATGAAGAAATGTGGAAGAGGTCAGTGTTTGAAGGGTAGTGCTAAAGGTCAGTTCCAATCCCTAGTTAACCACTTTACCCAAAGCAGAACTGATTTTAGCCAAGTTGGAGAACTGATTAAATGGAAAAAGTATTTACAGAAATTGGATTAAAAGGGGGTCAATGATAATTTTCAAAAATCTATATTTACATTTTAAAAAAGAAGAAGGGAAAGAAGTTGGAGAGGTAGGATTTGGCAATGCCCAAAAGTGAAGAGGAACACCATTAAGAATAGATTTGAGCCGGGCTTGGTGGCTCGGCCTGTAATCCCGCGCCTTTGGGAGGCTGAGGTGAGTTTATTGCCTGATCCCGCGGGTTTGAGACCCGCCTGGGCAGTGAGACCTCATACAATAAATCAAAAAATCAGCTGGACGTGGTAGCACGTGCCTGTAATTCCGGCTACTTGGAAGGCTGAGGCGGAAGGATCGCCGGAGCCCAGCAGGCGAGCCTGTGGTGGCCGGGAGTGGCCACTGCACTCCAGTCTGGGCGACAGAGTGAGACTCCAACTCAAAAAAAAAAAAAAAAAAAGAATAGATTTGAATGAAGAAAAGGAAAATATCTAAAATCTGAGTTTCATTCAAATTCTGAAGTCATGAAATTACAGAGTGATTGCTAATGTTAAAGGCAAGTTTATAGAAAGACTTCAAGTTGATAAAAGGTAATCAGCAAATTGAAAGTTGAATTTCTTCCAGCAGGTGTGAATAGATTCAACTCTATGGCATTATCCTGTATATCTGATTCTTGGTTGCACAAGGATAGATTCAGGTGTTTAAGACAATAAAGATCATCCTATTATTTACTGCAGCAAAAAAGTTTTCTGAACATGTTCCATATGAAAAAAGAAAAATAAACTCACGTTACTTACAGGATTCCAATTATTTATCTCAACCCCTTTCCCGACAGTTCTCTTACCATTGTTAACACACTTAAATGTATGACAATTTAAACTTAATATGAAATACTCACCTATCAGCAACTTTTGACATTTTTAACCGATGTCTATCTAACTGTATTTGCCAATATTTTATCTGGAAAGAAGGTTAGAGAAACAGTTTATAAGTAAGGACATTTTCATAATTTTCAACTCTACATTCTGATAAACTGGATCATTCTGAGCAAGAGTATATTCTAAGTCAGTAAAATGTCAAAGTTGGTTAAAAATAATCAAAGCTGGGGATCTTAAAGAGTTAACATAAAAAATCGAATGCAAACATATTGCTATCACTTCAGAATAACAATGACTTTGAATATTCTACCTACTTTAGCAAAATGTAACTTTATTTTTAAAGTTTATGGAGATTTTAAACATTCATTCATGGTGAATACTTAGATCCAGAATCACATTCACCATTACCTTTTATTTGAACAACTTCTATGCGAAACAGTCAACCATATAAAGAACCTTTAAAAATACCCACTCTTCACATGCACATCTGGTCTTCACAGCTGCTACTCTATAAACCCTGAGCAAGTCATCTTATAGATCAACCCACCTGTTGTTGCAACTCATCTTCTGTTGGAGGTTTGGTTTCTGGTGTTGGTGTGTGGGTAGGACTGTGACTTCTAATATCGTTTTGTAAACCATAGACAGACTATATTAAAACAAAAAATAAACATATTGGGACAAAATACCATTTACAGTCAGAAACTTTCTAAAAAGTAATTTTGTATTATAAATTCAGTACGGCAGCCCAAAGCTGATCTGATTAAGCTTCTGATCAAAATTCAAAATGCACTGCTGTCATAAATATCATATGCATATAAAATAGAAGCACAGCTCTTTGAAAAAATATGTAGTTAGATTATTAACTTTGACAGAATAATTGATTATATATAGAGAACATGGTGAGCATGATAAAATTTGGGGGCAGGCTGAGAATACAAAGCTGGAAAATGTCAACACTAAATAACATTCAGTAAGCACTGATTTCAGCAAAAATAGAGGTAACTATAAAATAAAAGAGAAATTTAGTAACTCAAAAGAAGATTTTAAAACCATCTCATTTTTACATAGGGATGAAATGGAGTACACTTAGGAATGTCACTAGGTTAAGAATTCTATTGCTGATATGGTTTCTTTTTTTTTTTTTTTTTTTGAGTTGGAGTCTCACTCTGTCACCCAGACTGGAGTGCAGTGGCCACTCCCGGCCACCACAGCCTCACCTGCTGGGATTCGACAATCCTTCCGCTTCAGCCTTCCGAGTAGCCAGAATTACAGGCATGCACTACCACGCCCAGCTGATTTTTTTGATTTATTGTAGAGATGAGGTCTCGCTGCCCAGGTGGGTCTTGAACCCGCGGGCTCAGGCAATCAACTCACCTCAGCCTCCCAAAGGCACGAGATTACAGGCTGAGCCACCGAGCCTGACGATATGGTTTCTTATGGTATAATCAAAGACACTCTAGAGTGTTCCTACCTTCCCACGAAAACATTGGGCTATTTACATCACAACACTGGCCTTGCCACTGGATGCCATTTTGCAAACGTCAGTGCCCCCCCCGCCCATGGCTTCACACATCTTTGGAGTTTGGATGCCCCAGTACTTCTTTATTAATTTGTCAAAAAGTCAAACCTGCCGTTTAGGAAGACTCTTTTTTTTGAGAAAGACCCATTGCTTAGTAAATATAAAGATCTGGTGACCAAAGGGGTAAAAAAATCTATCCTAGACTGGGATCAGTGGCTCAGTCTATAATCCCAGCACTTTGGGAGGCTGAGACGAGTGGATTGCCTGAGCCTGTGGGTTCGACACCTGCCTGGGCAACTTGGAGAGACCACGTCTCTACAATAAATCAAAAAAAATTAGCCAGGCGTGGTAGCGCACGCCTGTAGTTCTGGCTACTTGGAAGGCTGAGGCAGAAGGATCACTGGAGCCCAGCAGGTCGAGGCTGTGGTGGCCGGGAGTGTGCCACTACACTCTAGTCTGGGCGACAGAGTGAGACTCCAACTCAAAAAAAAAAAAAAAAAATCTATCCTCAACTGAAAGTAAAACGTCCCACATGTCAACTTAAGGAGAGAAGCCAAATTATTTTTTCTTTAATATCAAAGTATCATTCTTTTGAAATAAAGAATTTAATGTGTGTTATTGAGCACTTTTCCTGTGAACATGAGGAATGAGAATGAGGGCAAAATAAAACTGTATGAGTCCTGAGAAATTAAAGTTACCATTTAAGGTTTGCAAAGAAACTACTGAAATTAGACAAGGGTCGACCCAGATGTTTAATGGAGCCCATTTTCAGGCCAATCACCAAACCTGCCAGTATCTCTTTAAGTTCAAGTGGGTTTTGTTCTTGATCTGCTTTCACTTACATCTTACCTCCTCTTAAGGTTACTTCTTGGCTCTCTATCTGGACCCTTTGGACTTAATTTTTCCCTTGTGTCTCCCCATTATCTCCATTATTTTTCTCTTAGTCTTTAACAGATTTTGTCTTGGATGTAACCATCAGGGTTATCTAATCCCAGACTACTTTGGGAAGGTCCCTTCAATGACCTTCTCTTGCCCGAGCACCAACCCCTGGGAATCCAGTTCCTATATCTGGCCATCTATTTCAACACAAGGAGTAGCGCAAATGCCATGGATTCACTATTAACAGTACCAAGCTATATAACTTGAACTTGCTATTTTCTTTCACTCATTTATTCACTCATTCATTCATTCAGCATTTACTGAACACATACCGTATGAGGATATAATGCTAAGCAGTAGAGAAATAGAAGCAAACAAAATAGATGTACTTCTTCTGCCCTTGGAACTCACAACTCAGTGGAGAGGAATAAGTTACACAAATATAACACAAATAAATATATGATTAAAATTGTGATAAGTCTTATATTAAATAAAAGAAAAACAAGCATAAGACCTGCAGTCCCACAGAGGTTTAATTTAATGCAAGAAGTGGAAATGGTCTAAATAAACTGATGCTAGTCATATTTGAGCATGACTAAATGGAACAGCCTTCTAAACTCTGAAATAATAGTTAACATTGAAATTTTTAAGATTTGTGGCATATACACAGTGGAATACTATTCAGTCTCTAAACAACAGGAAATTCTGTCCGTTGTGACAACATGGATGAATCAAAAAGACATTATCTTAAGTTGAATAAGCCAGAGAAAGACAAATATCACAGGATCTCGCTTATATGTAGACTATAAACATGTCAAAGTCATAGAAGTAGAGAGTAGAAAGGTGATAATGAACTGGAGAATGGGTAATGGGTAATGGGGAAAAGAAAGACATTGGTCAATGGGTATAAAGTTGTAGTTAGATAGGAGGAATAAACACCGGTGTCCTATTACACAACACAGTGACTATAGTGAATAACGTAGCATATATTTCAAAGCAGCTAAAAGAGAAAAATTTAAATGGTCTTGCCACAAATAAATACTAAATATTTGAGGTAATTAATATGCTGATTATTCTGATTCTGTTCATTATATGATATATACATGTACTGAATATATGCAACTGTCAATTAAAAATAAAATAAAACTAAAAAAATAGGCAAGTGAAAGATTGCCAATTATCTGTACCTTCTAGAATCTGCTATATTGTTTAGCTGTATCACATTAACTTTCTTTTTTTTGAGTTGGAGTCTCACTCTGTCACCCAGACTTGAGTGCAGTGGCCGCTCCCGGCCACTGCAGCCTCGACCTGCTGGGTTCTGGCTATCCTTTCGCCTCAGCCTTCTAAGTAGCCGGAATTACAGACATGCGCTAGCAGGCCCAGCTGATTTTTTTTATTTTTTTTATTGTAGAGATGAGGTCTTGCTGCCCAGGCGGGTCTCGAACCCACGGGCTCAGGCAATCCACTCACCTCAGCCTCCCAAAGGCACGGGATTACAGGCTGAGCCACCGAGCCCGGCTCACATTAACTTTCAAAAAAGAAAATAAAAAGACTGTAATACTTAAACTTTCAATTATTTTACGTAGGTTCAATTATTAAAAGTTTTATAATAATAATCTACAGGTCATATAAATAGCCTATAAAAAAGATGGTTTGAACACTAAGCTTTTGAAGTAAGGTTAAAAATAATTAAAAAGACTGCTAGAAAAACAGCAATTCATAGTATCAAAAAAGTGATTTATAAGTTATTTTCTATCTCTACACTTCTACAATGGTTTCAACATTCATGAATTTCATGTACGCTTCATAAGCATTCCATATGAGACAGTTACCCAAGTCATTGGGAGGTTTGCTTAAAGTAGTCTTCCAGGACCCTGGCTACTAGCTCTGAGGTTACAGTAGAGTTTCCATTTATTGTTTTAATAAAAGTAAACATCAGGGGCTCTCACATTTATCACTATGATGCTATTCACTTCCTGGGAACCAGTGATAGCTTTTAACTTTGATTCTTGGTTACAATGAAGACAGTCATGAGGAATATAATTTTATATTTAATTTTATGGACAAAAAAGGTAAATAAATTGGTTGTATTTTGGCAGGCAAGTTATAAAGATCATTTGCAATGTGAAAGACTTCGCAGAAAAAGGAAATGCAGTGAAAGAGTAATACAAGGTGGGGTGGCATAGAGCTAGCTGCAGGTAAGGCTAGAGAGGAAAAGCAATGAAATCTTAACGTTTTAAGATTAGCAGCTGGGGAAAAATCAGATTAACTAATTGAGATTCATTTTCAATTTTAATAGCAAAATGTTGATCGAGATATTTTGACTTGATTAGCATGTCTTTTTATTCCCCATGGTGCCTAGACAAGCACTTTTCATATATATCATGAGCCAAATGAATACTGGATAGGTTATTCATAAAATGAAACAGACTTGACTTTCCACATAAATTTGTTCATATGTGATTTATTTTCACATTTTAGAAGAGAACTAAGAAAAATTATCCCCTATTTTTTGGGAGAGGTATTTCTATGGTCTGAATGTTTGTGTCTCCCAATATTCATATGTTGAAATCCAACCCCCCAATGTGATGATATTAAAAGGTGAACTTTGGGAGATGATTAGGTGTATGGGTGAATTTCTTATGGATGGGATTAGTGCCCTTATAAACGAGGTCCGAAGGATCTTGCTTGCTTCTTCCCATATCCGAAGACACAGAAAGAAGGCACCTTCTTTGAAGCAGAGGGTAAGCCCTCAACAGATATTGAGTCTGCTGGCACCTTGTTCTTGAACTTCCTTAACTCCAGAACTGTGAGCAATACATTTTTGCCATTTATAAACTACCCAGTCTAACATATTATAATTCATTATAGCAACCCAAATGGACTAAGAAAGATTTTAAAATGGAAACTACAAAGTGCAAGAAGTCTTTCTGCCTTTCTGTGTGGAGTGCAATCTCTGCAATTTTTCCTAACTGGAGCTGGAGTGGAAATATTTCTTTTTCCTTCCAGATTGTTTGGCCCAACTAGAGAATGGAGTGTGACCATATCCGACACCATGTGGACAATGCCAATATAGACAGAGCAGAGAAAAAGAGACTAGAGAGAGAGAATGAGAGCGCTCTTATGGTGTTTGGTCCCTAGGTCCAGTCAGACTCTGGGCCAGCTCTACCCCTGCTTGCCCCCAGAGTTTCAGTTCATGAGTCAGAATACTGCCCTCTTTATTCATTCTAGTTTGAGCAGGGTTTCTGTTGCCTACCGCTTACTTAAAACACTTTTGTAATGCTCTAAAATATGAGTTGTTTACTCTGTTAAATAACAAATTACATCTTAAATTTACACATGTTGCATATGGAAGTGAGGAAATGTCAGTCTTTTTATGTATAGCAGCTATAAGCACTGCATTATCACTAGCAGGAAAAAACTAGGTACTTAATCATTTATTTGCTAATTTTTCTTCTAGGACATACACATTTGCTGTTCACTAATGCTGTTAGCTATAGTATTAAGTGCCATAATGTCCAAATCAAGGTGACAGAGGAAAAAAATGAGCAGAACAGGAAACAGTTTACTGTTGTTTTGCAATATGGGGGTTGATGTTACAGGATACAACCCAAAGTGTGGGTTCAGGTACACACAAGCAAATGTTTTTGTCATTTTCCTCAGGTTTTGTGTTCTAGGAACCTCTAGCTATTGTCTTATGGAAGGATCTAGCCTGTGATGGTGAATTTTGTGTCTGGAACAATGTGGTCAAACATTATTCTGGATGTTTCTGCAAGAGTGTTTATTGGATGAGATCAAATCAGTGGACTTTGAGTAAAGCAGATTGCCCTCCATATTGTAGGTGGGTCTCATACAAGCAATTGAGGACTTAAATAGAACAGAGACTGGCCTCCCATGAGCAAGAAGGAATTCTGTCTCCAGACTGCCTCCGGATTTGAACTGTAACTTTTCCCTGGGTCTCCAGGCTGATCTCCTCTGAAGATTGTGCACTCACCAAGCTTCCACAATCATTCGAGCCAATGACTTAAAATAAATTTTTCTCTCTCTCTCTTTCTCGCCCTTCTCTTCTCCCTCCCTCATTCCTTCCTTCCCTCACTCCCTCCCCTCTTTTTGGAGCTATTCCTCTGGAGAAGCCTGGCTAATGTGGGCTATGACTATTACAGAAAAAATTTTAGTTTATCAGGCATATAGTTCCCCTTAAAACTTGTCTAGATTAAGCCAATTTCTTTCTGGCTATGCTACAGTATCATTCTTTCAAAAAGACTTGAGAAAAAACATTTTTATCTATTTCCCTATATTTTAGTAAAGTATATTCAAATGAAAAAGAGACTTGAAAATAGACTAATCCCAGATTCTTGAAAATACTTCAGATCAGCCTTCTCTACACATATTTAATAAACATGTTTGAAATTCAACAATTCAAATACAACATCCCAGGATGAAATGTAAAATAATCCTGATTTTCTAAGGCAAATACACTAGATGATTACTTTAGAGATTTACTGGGTCCTTCATTCTTTTTAGGACATGTAATCACAGGAAATATTATTACAGCTGACTCCCAAAGAAATGAACAGCAGCTCCCTCTGCTAACAGCAGTGTCTGTTTTCCAAAACTAAACATGGTCCAAGGGTTCCACTCTATGACCTCTGAGCAGCATAAGGCAGAGGGCAACCACATAACTAAGAAAGCCCAGTTACGGTGGAAGGACAAAGCAGCTTCCAGAGGTGACTGGTGGGCCTCTGCCATTTTTCTGTCTAGGGTCTGTGATCCCACAGAGCAGTGTGCTACACAGGGATGGAGGTGTGAAACCCTCAGAGGGTGGATGAATCAGTCTGCTGCTTGTTGTCAAGGTGTTCGCTGATGAAATGTTGTGGCAATTTAGAATCACAAACTATTTAAATTCCCTTTATAACGTATTAGGGACTGTGTTGTGTCTCCCTTCCTCAGATTCATATGTTGAGGCTCCCACCGCCACTGTAACTATATTTTGAGACAGGGCCCATGAAAAGGGAATAAAGGTTAAGGGAGTTCATAGGATTGGACCCTAAGATGACAGAACTGGTGTCCTTATAAGAAGAGGAAGAGACATCAGAGTTTTGTCTTTTTCTCTTTCTCGGTGCACACACACAGGAAAAATCACTGAGGACCCAGCAAGAAGGTAGGCATCATATAAGCCAGGAGGAAATCCTTTCCCAGGAACTGAACTTGACAGCACCCTAGTCTTCCACTTCTAATCTCCAGAATTGTGAGATAATAAATTCCTATTGTTTAAGCCAGTTAGTCTGTGTTATTTTGTGAAGGCGGCCTGAGCAGACTAAATAAAGCTTAACAAAATCATATAATTATACATATGTACAGGCATTCGTTTGTCTACTTGCTCAATGTTTGCACCCTTATTAAACCATGAGTCAAGGGAGCGAGGCCCTGCCTGTTCCGTTTACTGTAAAGATCAGTGTGTATCTAGTGTAAAGTAGAGACTCACTAATTTTGCTGACTGAAGGGATTATTCCAGTTCCTAACCAAGTATGAGCTAAAGTGTCAGTGTCAGTGATGGTGATTCTAAAAAACAAGTCAGTATGTGGCTTAGAGTCCTATAACCCTCTACGTAAAACAGCATTATCATCTGTGATGATTCTAGCAAATGTAACACTTCTGCTTGTGAGAAGTTATATTTATCAAATTGCAAGGAAATCAGTTTTCTTCAACTATGGAAAACAAGGGTATGCCTGCTACTTGTAGGTTTTTCAGAAATTTTGTTTTTCTCTGGTCAATTTTAGTGTTATACAGCTCTGCAGTGAAGTCCTGTTTTTCTACCATTATTGATTCACAGGAAATTAGATGGCAACCAAGACAAAGAATGCTAGGTCTCAATGCTTCTATTTCTTTACAGTTTCACCTTGTGATGCCTCCTGAGTTTTTCCTCATTAAATGAGAGCTGTTGACACATGACCAACAATGCTATAAACTAACGCTTTTCAAATTTTCAAAAAAAGTTGCTACATGAAGCGGGCAAGATTATCAATACTGAATACAGTTTAAGTGCTATCTTGCTAATCCATACACTTTCTCTTCTGAATCAGAGCACATCTGGGTTGATGTCGGTGCAGGGGAAACATGACACACGGTAAAGTATTTCTCAGAGTAACTCTCTACTCTTCAGAAAGTGGATAGAGGTGGTGGAATGCAGTTTCCAGAGAGCGGATAGCATTCTCGAATTGTGTTCTGCAAAGAGGTCCCAGTGCACTCAAGATGAGCATAAGATGAAAGCAAGTAAGGAGGACCAGCTGCAAGAGAGACAGAGCAGACAGGCTTGCTTTGGTCTGGCTTTTTCTCTTTCTTTCAGAGAATTCCGAGGGGTACAAGCATTGGAGCGCTGCACCTGAGTGGGCTTTGTGGTGCTTTGCTGGGTTTCTTTATCCTAACATCAAGGTAAATTGTCTTAAAAGAAAGAAAAGGTATTTGGACCATATTTGGGACCTTTGGACACGATGCTATGTTTCTAGGGATGAAAGAAAAAGACAACATGAAATAAGACTAGGAAAAGATGTTTAGGGCCCGCTGGAAAATACTATGGCTACATAAGGAAAAAGCTACAGAAAAGAAGGCCTTGAGTTTTGTGGAATGCATTAATCCAGCAACACCAGCCTGTGGGCTGTGTTCTCATGTGTTCTCAAAGTAACAGCCACAGACCAGAAATTCTTATGTGTATCACACATGTTTTATGAAAAGAATAAAAATGATATGTATGTGTGTATATTGCTTTTTAAAAAATATGTAGAAATGATTGTCATGCATTTTCAAAGGGTTATCTAAAATGTCACTGAATTCAGGTTGGGATTTTTTTTTTCCCTTACGTATTCTCTCACATTACAGACACTGAAGATACAACCATCCTCTTAAGCTTCTGTCACAAAATTCTGTAACTGAACATCTTTTAGATGTCCTCCTTTCCTCGGATTTTCCTCTAAAAATACCCTTCCCTCATCAGTATCACCTTTTTTCAGGAAATCTCCATTTCTCTTTCCAGGGCTCTGAAGGTGACGTCCTTCTCTGTCATGAATAGCAGAGGTCCTCAATTTTACTAGGTCTCTCCTATCAGACTCAATCAGTACCACCCCTCTACCTGGGGAGTCCGGTGTACTGTAGAATTAGAGTGGGGTTATTTCTGAGGAGACGACTACAGAAGACACAGAAAAGTTGGAAAGATACTCCCTGAAATGGGGACAAAGTGTTTTTGTGGTTGATGTCTTGTAAACAAGGTAATCCATCACCGAGATCAGCATGATAAAGAAAATGTGGCACATACACACCATGGAATACAATGCAGCCATCAAAAAAAGAGCAAATTCATGTCCTTTGCAGCAATGTGGATGCAGTTGGAAGTCATTATTCTAAGCAAACTAACACAAAAACAGAAAACCAAGTACTGCACGTTCCCACTTATAAGTGGGTGCTAAACACTGGGTACACACGGACATAAAGATGAGAACAACAGACACTGGGACCCTAAAAGGGAAGGAGACAGGATAGGGCAAGGATTGAAAAACTACCTGCTGGGTATCATGCTCACTGCTTAGGTAACGGGTTCAACAGAAGTTCAAAGATACCATCACACAATATACTCATGTAACAAGCCTGCACGTTTTCCCCTGGAATCTAAAATAAAATGGAAAAAGATCAGCACAACAAACATAGATTTTACCTTTCGTGTTTTGTGTGGGTTTCTCATTCTGGATGACTTCTTAATGTCCACTTCAGTAGTATTTACACATCCAGGCTGGAAAAGGAAATACAAAGAAACACAGGAATCTTTGGGTGTGAAGTTTCTGACCAATGCATTCATTAATGACTCATCCTCTAGGACCTAAGCAAATGCCACAATGACACAAGTCAATGGCAGGGTTTACTTGATGGCCACAGCCACTTCCACCTGCTGTAGCAGATAATAAAATACCTTACACTCTTCTACTCCTCACATTTAAAAGCCTTCATATACCATTCTCAAATTACTCCCAGAGAAACAGGAAAAAGAAATCCTTGGGCTTCGTGTGTGAAAGTGGTTGCTGATACTGTCAGTTGTTAACCCCCAGAGTTAGGGTGCCTAGGCACAAATGGGGTGACACCGCCTGCCCCACTGAAATCTGCATCAAACCTCCTGCAGAGTGCCCCCTCTTTATAAAACATGACACTGCTACTAGATGGCAGCCTGCTTTTCCCAAGTCAGAAAACTAAAATGGCATTGAGTTGAGCCAGCTCAAATCCCACAGTGAATTTTTCTTTCAGTGATTATAAAATACAGTGACTGGAAATACGTGTTTTCCATAGACAGAACATGTAATGGAGTTCATGGCTAAAATGAAGAGGATGAAAAAATAAACTGGTAAATAATATACCACACTTCTTCCCTTAAATCTCAGGCTTTCCTTTTCCTTTCCCTCAGGTTGGTAAACTCCTTTAAAACAGGAGATTTGGAGGAAAAGTATGGGCAGCCTACTGCTAGTTTTCTGGCAACCTCGGGAGTTTCATTTTGCCAGAATTATTGTTCTGTTGCACAGAAACAAATAGCTGTAAGCTTCTTTTATATTTGGAAGAGGAGAAAGAAGAAGGGAGGTGAGAAGAGAAGAAAGAGAAAAGCGAAAGAGAGAAGGGAGAGAGACGATGAATAAGGAACACAGAGAAAGGAGATTAAAAAATACATGGCATCACAAATCTAAAATGGGCCTTAGACGTCTTGTATTCTTTAGAAGTAATTAGAATATAGTGGTTACATAGATTGTGTTTCCTTTACTTTCAAGTTTTTGGTAGAGGATTTAAGGATCTCTGGCATTAGTGGGAGAAAAAAAAGTCCACTTGTTCATCTCTGCTCCATTTCTCTATTTCTTTCCATAGATTGCAAGAAAATTACAGCATTAGGTGTCGTTGTGAGAGATTCCAGAGAGACTATGAATGTGGAAAAATCTTGAGTGGAGTTGGGGAGAAAAGCAACAAGGCAGTGCTGCTGTGATTAGACTAAGGTTGTGAAGGACCAAGCTGTCTCCACAACCACGGGCAAGCGACGAAATGCAGTTCTTTGTATAATAAGGACACTGGGAACTTTGCTTAAAAACCCCTCTCCTGATAGCATAGCTCTTTGGGAAGAACTCCACCTTATTATCTTCATGGAAAAGGAAGAAAATGAGCAAAACATTTTTTTCTGTTATTCTTTCCCCCACAAAGACTACATGTAGAATGCATTTATGGCACACAGAGACATTACACTATGAACATAAGATAAATTATAAGTTTGGTTTGTGTATCTATTTAGGAGTAGAAATAGCTGGTTTAGTACGGCGGTGAGGTTGGCCAAGTAGGAGGAAAAAAGAGCACTTAGCCGTGTGGAACTAATTTACTAAGTGACACTGAGCAATTCACTTAAACTCTTCTAGAATCAGGTTGCTCTGTATCTGATATTCTGTTTTGATTTTTCTGTTGATCTAGGCATGACATTTTTTTAAAAGACCCCCAGGGATTTTAAGATGCAGCCAGAGTTCACAACAATTGATCTAAATGTAATGAAGACAACGTTCTGAACATATTAAAGCACCATGTTTTTATTTCCTGTTCCATTTCTATTTCTTTGTATTCTTCCATCCCTAAGCCTGAGTCATAAAGAAAAGGGAGACATTAGAAGTCTTTACACTTCTATCAATATGTCAAGAGCCAAGTAAGATAGGTTATGGAGATTTTCTTCTGCATGTTTTTGGCGGGAATAATTGGGATATGATATCCAGGAAAGAGAATGTATGCTTCTTCATGACCTGGAGGGAAATAGAAATAAAGGTAAAATCCTGAGCTCAGCAAGTGCCTCATTTTTCTCTTCTGGGGAAGAAACTCTAAGAAGAACAAGAGGAAGTAATCGAAACTACCAGACAAGTATAAGGCAGCCTGTGAGGTAGCTAGTTCCATGCCCTAGAAGTAGCCCTACATATGATTGGCTCAAATATGAATCTGTAAGATTGGAGGAAAAAGAAAGATGGGCTTCAGAAAATGCTTCTCAAAGCTGGCATTCAACAGGTTAGGTATCCAGAATTTGTTGCATGCCTCAGTGGTAAAAGGAAGAGAAGTCTGAAGAAGAATAATAGGTGGATGGGAGCTTGAGGCTGGGACAAAGGCACAGTGTGCAGGGGATTTTATGCTGGGAGCAGATGTCTGAAACACAGATGCCAGCAGTGAGTGCCAGGTGGGGAGATAGTATTTTCAATTGTAGCAGTCTTTGGAGCAACCCATGCTAAACCTGTCTAAAGCAGAAATCAAGGATCTGAAAGACGTTTTGGGGATGCTTGGCTTTCATCTAAACAAAACCTCTAGACCCCAAGCTCCTATCCAAAAACAATCTTGGATAGCAAAAGGGAAAGGCTAAGGAGAACTGAAAGTGTGTTCATTTATCCAAAAGTGACTGAATTACTTAAACGACTATTTAAATTATGGCAGCACACAGAGCATGCACACTGAAACCTATCCTTTGAACAGGTTTTCGAGAAAAATAGACCAATTACAGAACACACAGAAAATACAGTTTCTGTATTTTCTATGCATATCTGAGGATCCTGAACTGACTGAACTCCAAGACTCCTTCAGTACTAAGCTAGGATACCAAACCAATTGTCCTTCATTCCAGGTGGAATAATTAGCAATTACCTCCAGAAATTATGTTAGTCATTGAAGGAAAGAAGTGGAAAGATCCCCCTTCCCACAGGAATGTATCTGACTGTCAGTCCTTAAGAAAATTAAAATTTCATCCTTAGATTTCAAAGATTATGGCCTTTTAAATTTGATTAATGAACCATGAGTATACATCTAAAATTCCCACTTGAGCCAATTATTAACACCATTAATCAGCAAATTAATAAGAAAGCATTGATTCTAAAAGCAAACATTATTAGAATCTGAACCATAAGATATGTTTTATGACCCAGCTCCCAACCTAGGAAAATAAAATCTGCCAGTTCAAAATTTGTTGCTAATAGCTAAATAGTTAAAGAAAGAAACTGGATCTGAGATACTTGTCCCAGAGGCTCTCCAGCTTCCTATAATTTCTAAGAAGCCTGTAGGGACAGCTAATGGTTAAACAGATCTATGATATCTAAGTTAACTAGGAAATTCTTGAAGATAAAAAAATTTAGAGGCATAAAGTAGTCTGGTCTACATCTTAATAATTAAGGTCATGACCTACTGCCAGTAATTCCTGAACAGCTGCTTTCAAAAGTCATGTAAATGTGATATGGCAATAATATTTTTGAATTCTTTTATTTATTCAAGAAATATTTCTTTCTGCATCTGTCAGGATAGATGGTGAAATATAGAAATGAAGGCATGATTCTAACCTCAAAAAATTCTTAATAAGGATGACAATAAGAACAACAGACACATGAATAAGCACAATACAGGAGCAAAATAACGAGGTAGTAGTTGACACAAGGCATCACACAACAGAACAATTCAGACATCCATTCTAATGTACATTCTGTTGGTTCTTCTCAACATGGCAGATAACGTTTTTAAAAAGCGTTTTTGAACAATGTTTTTAAACTAATAAGATCATGTTGTCCTTGCTTATTTAAAAAAGGCAATTATCTTTTTGAAGCACATATAATAGACACCACTAGCTGGCACCAGATTCACATGAAATGTTATGCATACATTTGTTTTCTGCAGAACTAAACATAGCTTTCCAATAAGATATAAATAACAATACCATTACCAAGTAGACGCTCCGTAAAAATGCTCAAATATGTGCTATTTGCTGGATACAGTATTAAGTACAGAGTATTGCAGCATTTAAGCAATAATAAAGTGCTATTTACACTGGTCTAGAAGTGAGTCATGTTATTTCTAGTGATTCAAAGGTGAATTTATTTTTGACAGGACTAAGCATGGTTGTAACATTATTATAATACTATTTATTAGAAAGTAAAATTTAATATTGTGGAATCCATTTCTGAGGTAGTAAAGGGCATATATCACTGAGAAAAATTCCTTTTGTAGTGTTCACGTGAGTGTCTTCATGAGGTGCAAAGGAGAAGTTGGAATTCTTGATTTCATTATTAATATTTTACTTAAGAGAATTAAATATTATCTAATTCCTTTCGTGGCATAATACCTTTTTGTTAGTTGTAGCAGAAGGCACATGTGTATTCAGGAAAACACAGGAGAACTTACAATGAAGAGCAGCAGTGAGAGATAAGAATAGAGGGCAGCCTTCTTTACGTTCAATCGCTGTAATGACGAGAAACTGGGCAGATGATGTCACAAATGACATGATTGGAGGCTTAGGAAACAAGGTGGCAAAAGGAGCTGATAGTAGGAGACATTCATACTTTAGACTTTTTTTTTTTTAAAGCAATGATTCTGAGAAAATTAAAGTTTTAAATAGGCATAGTCCTTCCTTATCCGACAGAGATAAGTTCCAAGACTCCCAGGGGATGCCTGAAACAAGGATAGTATCTGGTCCTGTACACATTATTTTTTTCTTATACGTATATATCTACAATAAATTTTAACATATAAATTAGGCACAGAAAGAGATTCACAACAATAATGAATAATAACATAGAAAAATTGATTTCATAGATGCAAAAAGTAGACCAGAGGATACAAGAGGTTAGGGAGAGTAGTGGAAAAGGAAGATAGGGAGAGATTTGTTAAAGGATACAAAATTACATCTAGATAGGAGGAATAAGTTCTAATGTTCTAAACCATTGTAGGATGATGACAGTTTACAATAATATAGAGTTTCAA